AAAGAAAAACGAATATATCTATATTTTAAAGAAAAACAAATATTTGTACGAATTTATGTAGCTTCCAAAAAATTCTCCTTATTGTACCGAAATCCAAAAAATATCATTACCGTTTTTATCGGTTATTTCAAAATCAACTGATTTATAGAGTTTTTTTTTTAAATATATTTATTAAAATAACATTGAGGGTGTATAGATATATACAGATATTTGTACCTTTAAGTTAATATCAAAAAGCACGTTTGGTAAGTCAATTAATGCTTGTTTGTACGGATATTTGTATAGATATATACGGATATTTGTACCTTTAAATTAATATAAAAAAGGAAATTATGTGCAATTAATGCTTGTTTTGTTAAATTACTATTTATAGGCAGTAATTAATGTTTTTGGCGGGAAATAGTTTCTAAAAATTAATTAAGTTAATCCTTATTATATAATAATAGATTACCTAAAAATAGTAAATTAACAAAATCTCTATTTATTAACATACTTTTTTTATCCAATTTTTTTTAGGATTACAATAACAAATATGAAATCAAAATCAAAATAAATCTAAGAAATACACTTACCATACTTAATACATTTAATTTAAGAAATACACTTACCATAAGTATTTTTAAAAATTTTTAAAATACAATATAAAACATTTATTAATAATTTTCAATTAAAGTTTCTTTTTAATAATCAATCATATTTCTAATAATTGTTAGAAATAATTTATATATATATATATATATATATATTAGTATTTACGTGAAAGTAACATATATGTTACTTATATGTTAACATATATGTTAATTCTATATACTAAGGATTAACATAAATCAAATTTAGAAACAATTTTCGCCACTTTCATTAATTATCTTCTAAAAATAGTAAATTAGATTTCTTCCTTTTTTTAAATAAATAACATCAAATACTTTTATATTGGTAAACAATAAGGAATCAAAATCCGAATAAATCTTCTATTTTTCCAAACAATTTGGAAATCCAAATGTAAATCCG